TGTGTGTGTGTGTGTGTGTGTGTGTGTGTTTTCTGGTGGACACTGCTCTGAACTGTGTCTGCCTTTCCACTTTGACTATGTAACTGACTTCCTTGTACAGTATGACTGATAATAATAGCAGTCAGGCCTCTGTACATCTGTGCAGTGAGGCTGAGATCGAGACTATCACTCTACACCCACACACTTCTTCTCCTTCCTCACTCTCTCTCACGTGTTGAGCTTCAGAGTTTCTCTGTGTCCAATCAGCACTGGCCTACATCACACTGTTCGAAATGTCTTGTCTGTGGTGCGAGGTATGAAACAGCCCTGCAGTTGACCATTAGTCAACCACTTATTAGTCATTGACGGTAAAACAAGACGCAGAATTAAATGCAGGTTCCTAATGTTTTTTTTACTGCCTATGTAAAAGTACAGAAGCATGTAAAGAAAATGGTGACTCACCAGATGAATTGGGTTGCGTTTTGCTCTGTGGAGAGAAAGACAGGGACATGGTGGTGTAAAGCAAAGAGAAGCGGCCAGTTCTATCAAACATTCACATTTACACATACAGTAAATATATTTTTGTATTGTTAATATATATCTTCACATCCATATGTCTGGCATTATGTTTATGAGTTGATTGAAGGCTTTATACAGAATGTACAGTATAATATTTAAAGGAGAGAATTGTCGTGAAGTCTACTTTCTCGCTGGAGTGTGAAAGATAGTCCAAAACAAACTGAGATCATTATTTATCATATTAACACCCGAATTCAGCCTGAATCGCTGCACAGAAAACAAAGTAGGAGTTTGTCATATGAACTTTAAAGGTCCAGTGTGTAAGATTTAGGTGAAAGAGAACTATTGGCAGAAATTTAATGTAGAATAATCCTCATGATGTTTTCACTAGTTCGTTTCATCTAAATTGTATGAATTGTAGTTTTTTTCCCCCTAGAAAAGACCCTTTATATTGAAATACTTTATATTTACATTGAGGGGACCCTCTCCACGGAGGCCGCCATTTTTTTACATTAGTCCAGACTGGACAAACTGAAGCTTCCACAGGTTCTTTTTCATGTTTGGAAGGAGAGGGTGAGGTGAGGGGTGTTCAGCTGCAACATGCAACTTTACCACTAAATTCTACACACTGTACCTTTAAGTAAAGTGTTCATCAGTGAGTTTTATTGGTTGGCAAATGTTATGAGCTTTGAGAAGAACCAGGTTGTTTCCCCTTGTTTTGTACAGTCTTTATGCTAAAATTAGATTAGACTAAAAGATGCTTAGCTTAGTCAGATAACTCGCTCGCTCTCTTTTTTGAAGCGATTACCAAAGACAATTGGGTTTAGGCCTTCGCATCCCCATGATGTCGAGGTATGCGACCACTGAGAGTGAAAGTATTTAAAATATGATTTCCTGTGTCCAAGTCATTAAAGTTACATGAGTTTTGTGAAAATGTGATTTAATTTGGTCGAAAAAGAAGATAAGTTTGTTAAATAATAACAATAGGCTCCTTGCACTGGTTGGTGCTCACGCGTTAATAAATAACTTACAAATTTATAGCATTACCACTGCAGATCACAGCTTTCTACCTGTTAGCTTAGCATGGCATAAAGATTGATAACAGGGAGAAATGGCTAGCCTGGGTGTTTCTGTCCAAAAAACTAAAAAATTAAAAAATTAAACTTAAAATCTTTTCTGACAAAGTCACTGCCTCTTCAGTCTGTCAGGCTGAGACATAGAACATAACCCAGTATTCATTTTTTACACTTACACAGCTCTTGTTTGGATTAGAAAAAACATGACTTTATGGCCTAATAAACATGGTCTTATAAATCTCAAAATGCCAATCTATTCCTTAACAAAAGTGAGGGAAACGTTTCAAGTACAATCTTGAATAGAGCAGACGATTTAAATAGTAATTTTAAAATGAATTGAAATAAGCAGACATGGAATGACTGGAATGAAGAACTATTCATCATTTCCAAATAATTTAAGCGTTACAATCACATGCAGGCCTTGATTTGACTGGACCTGACATTTTGTCTGCGCATTGAGCTTTTGAAAATACCAAATCGTTCATCTGTCAAATCAGTGTAATGTACCACTGGTGGTGGGTTGATTGTTTAACTGTTGCCGTCCTCTCTCTGTGCCTCCAGAGTTTCTGAAAATGATGGAGAATGTTCAGTAATGAGACCAGCTCTACATTCCTTGGTGACCCTGCCTGGGAGCGAACATAAAGCACGCTGTCTGATGTAAATCTATTCAGAGCAAAAGCTGTATCACCCTGTATAATTATGAATGTGATTTGAAAGGATTCAAGTGAAACTCAAGTGCCTTTAATCCCTACCCCCTTCTCCTATGAGGCCCCAGGGTTTGGTGACGACATCTATAAATATCCCTTCAAACCATTTAAGACGAAGACACTTTCCCCCTGCCATCCTGCCATCTCCTTGCGCGGGCCACCCAGCTGTCTACTGGGCAGCTGCCGTTTCTCCAGAAATGCGACACCACCCAGGTTGCCACCCTCCCCTCCCCTCACTGTCCTCGACACTGATTCTCCCACCATTTTGTCCTGTGCTTTTTAAATAAATAAACTCTCTCCTTCAAGCTCATTGTTCACCAATTATTCTACCGTGCATGCCTGACACGCCTGATCTTGTCCGACTCCTGCCTGATTCATTCTTTTGTTCAACTCTCAGTGGGACTTGTAGATCCCTGCAGACTCACATGCGCATACATACACACAACTACATGAAAAGTGGTCATTTACACAGACACAGGAGCATGTTTGCTCTCTGCACCACCAGCAGCACCTTTACACAGAAACACAAACACTGTTCCACTGCTCTTATCTCTGTTCCAGACCCAAACTATCCTCCATGCTGGACTTTGCAATAGCAGTGTTGGCATAGATAATACCTTGCACAAACTCCCCTGTCTCATTCAGCACTAGAAAACTGTCACATCTGCAGAAACTTTCAGTGATCTGGTTTCAACTGCATCACTTGCAACTCCCCCTAAGTCTGTCATATAGGTAACGCTCTGTTGCTGATCTTCACGCGGACGTCTCCCAGCACAGAAATCAGTGCCCCCTGTGGCCAGGCCCCGGTGTGAGAGGAGGTGAAGTCGGCCAGCATTAGAAGCTTGGGACAGGCAGTCAGACAGAGTTAATTCTCCCTTTGGAAAATGCAGGTCTCCCTCTTGAGTATATAGCCTGCAAGCCCCCCACCATCTCTCAAAAGCAACATCCCACCCCCTTTCTCCACAACAGCTCCTCTCTTCAGCATCCTCCCCTCCTATCCCGTCTCTCGGCAGGGGGCCCTCCTCCTGCAGGAACTGCCCACCATACAAGGAGCACCAGGTTGTGTTTCTCGGGCAAATCGGCTACGGGTGTGTATGGGATGTGTATGCCCCACGTCCCTGTTCCCTCTCTCAGCCCTAAAACCTGCATGCTATTCAGGGCACGGCTAAAAGGGTGGAGGCAGGCTGGTGGTGGTGTTGGGGGGGGGGCCCCCAGCATTTTTCTTTTGGTTTTGAGTTGCACACCCAGATTGAAATGCCATCATCACAAAACCTGTAACCCACTTTGAAATCTTTGGCTGCCCCCTTCTCACCCACTGTCTTATATTTACAAGGCCTAAATGGAAATCAACAGCCCCAATGAGCTGCACAGTCTGTAGATTAAGAGTTATTTCTTTCTGAATACTGGCTACATTTTAGTTCAATCATTTTAGGAGGTCACCACTGAAAGGTTTTATTGGGCAATTTCTTAATAATAGTAACCCAATGCATTCAGCCGTAATTCGTTTTTTAAAGCGTGTTGCTTTCCAGTATGGATATTTCACAGTATGTCACAGTTGTTTTCTCACGTCCGACCTCTTGTGGTCTCAGTTTTAACAAACCAAGTCAGAGAGAGCCTGAAATATCTTTTGCATATTTATAACATCCCCTTCAAAAAGCTATGTTTTGCATCTTTGCTCTTTTGTGTACATTTCTGTATGGTGGCCTGTATAAACAAAGTGGAGCTAAAAGCTCCAGCTTTACCTCTTTTCCATTCTTAATCTTGCAACTTCAAGAAACAAGAGCTTTCCTCTCTAATGTGTGATTGGCCTGCCCTGGCCCCAGAACCCTAAAAGTTCAGGATACTAAATCTGGAGGCCTGTGAGAGGCAGGGGGCGGGACCTGGCTCCCCCGTTTAAAGTGTGTGTGAACCATCACTTGACGTCTAGTCTCTCTGTCGGGGTGCACACGGATTGACCACTCCTTTGGGCTTTTCTTTTATCCTTGGATATTTGGGGGGGAAAGCTAATCCACAAACATGGTAAGATCAGTCACTTGTGCAAATGGGATGAACTGTTTCAAGTTGAGGCCAAGCAGACATTAGTTATTAAACCATATTAATGAGCGATTGTGAAGTGGAAATTTAATGACTATTAGTGGAATATGAATGCGTAAAAATTTATATCCTGAGCATGTTTCCTTTTGTTACTGATGCTTAGATGTTAATCCTTTGGCCTCCCTTAAATTAGATCTATTTAAAATATGTCAAAATGTTGCATTCAGACACATTTTAGTTGCATTTAAATTGAATTGTTACTAAACAGCCTATTAGTTGTAGCCAGTTATCTTTTGCTAATTATTTTAATCCTTGTAGAGAGTTCAGAGTGGGTGCTGGGTGGGTGTCAGCTGCGGATTCTGCTTGGGCAACAAATTCCCAGGGATTGGATGTCTGCAGGCCATATACAGCAGGGTCTAATGTGTTGAGCCTGAAATAGCCGCGCTAATCTACAGCCGACACGAAAAACCTGTTGAGACACAGCGACGGAATCCTACATGACTGATTAATTGTTATGATGAGAAACTCTAATAATACAACTTCCTAATTAAAACAATATTTTAGATACATTCTCTGAAATGTATGAAACAATACAGTTTACAGTTTAAAACGTTGATTCAAATACAATACAATATTCGTTTGTTAATGAATCATGTGCGCATCCTTGATTTGATGGATTGATTTTTACGCACTCAAATGTCCGTGTGTATTGCGACAGTTTCTGTGACTCCGTGTGACTGGGTGTTAACTGGACTATATATGAAGCCTGTAGTGAATCATGATGTGACGCCGTGGCCCTTGTTTTCTTCCAGACTGACGCGCAACAAGAGGCCCGCTCCTACCTGAGCGAGGAAATGCTGGCTGGTGAGTAAAAGGCTTCAGTAACGCGTTACTTTGCACAGGAACGAGTAGTGAAACCGATTACTATCGACAAGCGGCCACAGCGGTCTACAATGGTATCTATTCCAGTTCCACATCCAATGAGTTTACTCTTTTTCACAATGAGCTCCATTAGAAAAGGGAGACAATATAAGACCGTCTGAGTAGAACAACAGCATGTTGAGGGTAAAAGGATGCTCATCACAGCAAGTTATAGACTTCGGTCATTCACACAGATGATTCCGTCTGTTTTAGTTACGTTTGTGGAGAAAACCAAGGGGTTATTTATGGGTAATCGTTATATAATCCCATTTCCTAATCTGCATTATTTCAGCACCGCTTGTGTCTCTGTTTAAATTCGACCATGTCTCCTTGTCTCACCCAGAGTTCAAAGCCGCTTTCGACATGTTCGACACCGACGGTGGCGGTGATATCAGCACCAAGGAGTTGGGTACCGTGATGAGGATGCTGGGCCAGAACCCGACAAGAGAAGAGTTGGATGAGATCATCGAGGAGGTCGATGAGGATGGTAAGCAACGGGTGACAGTGTTTCTCTGATAGTCGAACTGTAAGCCTGGTGTGCGCAATGAGCATTTTTACGCACAAGACAGCAGCCAACAATACAAGGAACAGCATCATTAGAAACCAAGCTTTATTTACTTGGTTCTGTTTAAAATTACATCAGTAACCTAGAAAGATGCTTTGCTTAATGGGTTTCACTAAACTCAAGTGTTTTCCTTTTACTGTTGTTCGTGCGTAAAATGGTGCGCACAAAGACGTGGCGAGCAGGTGGCACATGGCACCGGGCTGGCCGTTGTTCACCTGTTATGTGGCTTCTTGTTTAACCTCAGGTAGCGGTACCATCGACTTCGAGGAGTTCTTGGTCATGATGGTGAGGCTGCTAAAGGAGGACCAGGCCGGCAAGAGCGAGGAAGAGTTGGCAGAGTGCTTCCGCGTGTTCGACAAGTACGGCCACACTGTTGCGGCACGCACACACGCACGCACGCACACACACACGGACACACTAACTCCATACATCCACAGAATATCCATCCACAGATGACAGGATGTTATTTTCTTATCAGAGATGCCTGTTTATATTTACAACCAAACACATTTTGCTTGTTTTCTCCAGGAACGCCGACGGCTACATCGACAGAGAGGAGTTCGCGCTCATCATCCGCAGCACCGGCGAGCCCATCTCAGAGGAGGAGATTGATGAGCTGATGAAGGATGGAGACAAGAACGCTGACGGCATGCTGGACTTTGATGGTACGTACTGTATAGGCTACCTGGTAGTGATGATGATTGTGTTGGTTTGATGTTAGAATAATTACTTTTTATGCTATTGATTATACTGAAGGACCTGGGGAGTGTTTGAAGCACTCCAAAGAATTTAAAGTACCTTAATATTGTAATTTCAGTTATCACAATTCTATTAAGCAAATATTTATATGCATGTTTTTAAACTTCTGATTCTAGAGTTTAGCCTCTAACAATATCATGGTATTAATGAAATGTTCTGTCTTTTTTTTCTTTTCCAGAATTCCTCAAGATGATGGAGAATGTGCAGTAAAACCAGAAAGACTCATGGACATTCCTCCTCCCCCCTGTCAACCCCCCACTCTTAATACACTCTACCCTACTGACCCCACTGTACCACCACCCCACCCTTACACACATACTTACCCTCCTTTCCACCTGGTTCACTGCCTCTCTTCTCCATCCTCATTGACATCCTCAACAGACGGCTCGGGGCACCCAGCTGGGGTTGGGGGCGTCGCTGGCTGGGGTACACTCTACCCCGGCTTGTGTGTGAATGCAGACGGCCTATGGATGCTGCGCTGAAACTGTACTTGGTGACAGGACGGCAAGGCAACAAAGGGGGAAATTGTCCATACACACCCTTTGCAGTATACATGGCGTGTATACGTGTCATCAGCGACACCCTGCCCCACCACTCTCCCCACTCTGGTGGTAAAGCTCTAATCTAGATGTAGTCTAGATAGAACGGCAGCCTGTTACCTGCTGCTTAGACCAATTTATTCAACCACTTCACTGTACAAAGAAGTAATTTGCTTGAACAGAATAAATTAACTAACACATGCTCACTTGTAGTTGGTCTTACATATATATGGTCAGTGTAAAAAATATTTTGAGGAATATCAATAAAATCTGTTTGTTTCTTCTTTTTGTCCATTTCAGTTTGAACCACAGTTTTGTCTTCATCAGCTGATTCTGAGACAAACCTCCAGACTCAACAGTCATGATTGTGATCAGAGCTGTTCATGTGTTGAGGCCCCACAGATGGGAATGGGATTACTTTTATCATCTGGGAAGGGGGGGAGGGGGGTCAAACCAACAGCCCTATAGAAACTCAGAGGGCCTGTGCCACAAAGCTCTGTTAAGGAGTGGACTATGTGAGGGTGTGATTCACTGCCATCCCTATCACGCAGGAGGCAAGTATCTACCTGGCCACTGAGATGACAGCATTGAACCCATCGTATTGCAGATACTGAAATTAAATGTAGGGGCATCCATTTTTCAGATCAAGAATTCCTAATGATGCAACTGTGTCATTGAATGTTCAGCAGACCACTTACTTTCACATGGAATAATTTAAATTTCATCGATACTGCCCCTGAGAAGAATTTACTCTTTGAAATGTCAGAAATTCATAGAAAAAGCATCTAATTCTGTCCAACACTCCAAAACATCCTGAATTTCACTTCACAAGAAATTGTAAATTGCCACACTAAAGCTACAACTGAAGACCTTACTCAGGTGATGCACCGTCAAGCTGTTGGGTACCGTTGTATGTCGATGTCGCAAAATGCTGTGAAATCTCCAGTCGGACGTTATAATGTGATTAATACGCATACATGTCTACATATTGGTCACAATACTCCACATGTCTTAATATGATTATTGCTTATTCCGAGTTTCATGTTGTTCAGGTAATCAGAGAATGCTGTTTACATGGGAGTGTCTTACTCAAATTACTGACTGGGTTAACATCACAATATTGGTGTCCATGTAAACATTCCTAATGTTCAGATATATTCTGCTCGATTGATCAAATTAAACTGAACAACTGGCTTTATTAAAACAATATAACGATTACTTTATTTGAAATCACTCCCCGACAGCAGTCCAGACACATGTAAACAAACTAAACAGCCACATTGTGTGAATGAAGTGTCCCGGGGAGAGTTTACGAGCCGTAGTTGGCTTCATCGAAAGCTTTCCGGGCTCTCTTCAGCTCCTCGTTCATGGTCAGCAGGTCTTTGACTCTGGCGAACTTCCTCGGGTCCTTGCGAATCAGGAACACGATATCCTCCACCTGGACGCGGCCCTGGCGCCCGATGGACATGGCCTTGTGGGTCATTTCCGTGATGAAGTCGATCACCAGGTCCTCCAGGATGTCCACGGACTCCGTGTACGGGTTCTGATCGTCCCCGAAGCCGTACATCATGCACCGCAGCTCCTTGGAGAAGAGCCGTTTCCTCTTCCCGTGGCCGACGTCCACCCCGCCGGTGCCGTCGTCCAACTCCTCGTCGAAGCCGGCCTCGTCTTCCTCATCCGCCATTCTGCTGGAAAACAACACGGGTTAACGTCACAGTCCCGCAGTTCTGATGTGCGGTTAAAGAAGAAGCGCTACCTTTCCTCTCAGCCTGCAGGACAACACACCGTATTTACTTCCGCCTCTTGTTTGTTGACTGCGGAAGAGGTTCTCGGAGAAAAGGATCAAACTAATAAATACTGCCCCTAGTGGTTATTTTTGCTCCCTTCCCCACAAGTCGTGATTGTTGCGTCTCAAAGTTTGCACATGCAGCTCCGCCGCAGCGACTCGTCCCCATGACTGACGGTGAGTTGTTCTATCATCACATTATATCTTCTTCTGCTTCGGTCTCGTTCGCATCCACCCGAGGGCAAAGTGAATGCTAAAATCTGACATTGAAATAACCGCTTCTGTCTGGATCACCGCCTTGCGCCATTGTTTATTGACTGTGTGGTTATTTCTCATATGCCGCTCTTAGCCCCGGGGCTTCAGGAGATGTTAGCCTGAAGCTAACGCTCAGGAAGCTTTTACACTGGCAGCATTCTGCCACGTTTCAAAGTGTGCTGACCAACCCGAAGTTTAGCGCGGGACTTGCTGGCCACGCTCACCGGGGTTTGCGGGGATAACCCTGGGAGATGTGCTGAACACTGTGGGGGGAAGTTGCCCCGGGTGTGTGACGAGGCTGCGTCCTGTCAGAGCAGCCGGGTGACGCGTCATTAGACTGGATGTAAACATTAGCTCTAGTAGGAAGTAGGGCTAGTAGGAACACAGTGAAGAGTATAGCCCTGGGCTCATTTCAGCTCCGGGTTAACAGTGTGTGTGTGTAAATGGGCTAAACTATCCCAGCCCTGGGCTAAGGATATAGAATATGAATCCGATTTAGATTGTGGGTTTGTGGATTGTCTCAGTGAAAGGCTCCAGCAGTGTGAACGGAGGCAAAAGTCAAACATTTTGGAAAACCGTATTCATTCCTGGTTGGTTCTGTTGACGCCGAATTAAAGGGCGATTCCTGCCAATTCTGTCAAGGTCTGAAGTGTGTGTGCATGTGACTTGTAGCTAACACGTGGACACTGCGAGTATTAATAAGAGGGTTGGTCTATGTGGGTGTCGCCATACGCTCATGACACCCCTCAGGGGCGATCGCACTGTGTACTCTGTCACAGGTTGCAGAGAGCCAGCGAGGAGGGTTAAAGATCAACGCTGAGCTACATGTTGGCTGATTCACTGATCCCACCTTCACAATGCTGGCCTACACAGCAGGCGGATGAATGGGCTAAAAGAGTAGTTAGCGCAGATAACGAGCAGTCGAACATCCGTGCTGTCAAACACAACATCAGGTGAGTGCAACCACTGTGTCAAGCTTCTGCTGGGTTCAGTCGCTGATATTGGAAGATGCTGTTTGATCAATAGCTGTGAACTAGCTCATGTTGGTTGAATGTGGTCGACATAAGGTTGGTAGCAGCTCAACAGTTAGCTGACGTGGTTTAGCAGCTAGCTCCCTGTGGTTATCAAACTTAATGTGTCTGTTAAGATAATGCTGCACTGGGATTATTTACTGCTCATAAAACCACGTGCCTGCTCACTGTAAAACAGCCGAATTTATTTTATTTCTCTCTCTCTCCCCCATCGTCCCCCTTCTCCTCCTCCTCCTCCACACGGGGACTCTCCCTCTCTCCTGGGTCTGTCAGACATGGGTGACAACAGAGATGGATGCAGAGTCAGTTAGGAGATGACCTCCCTTCAGTAGCTGTCTGTGGTAGACAGCTGATCCTGGCAGCCCCTACATGGCGTGCCCCGTCCAGTTCCTCTGTCGGGGGCTTCGCAACGTTGGATTAGTTCTCCTCTACTATATCTTCTCTATCGGCATCACCTTCTATAACAAATGGCTGATGAAGGTAAGTGAAGGAGTTCATACAGCACAGCTGGCTTCCTTAAAATAACTGTTCCTCTTCACAGGACATATCTGCTTTTGCTTTTTCAGTTTGTCATTCACCCATTGACACATTCATACAGTGTGTGCAGCACATTCATAAAGCTGCTCTTATTCAAAGATTCAAAGATTTTTATTGTCAAATGCACAGGAGTTCCCCTGTGCAATGAAATTCTCATGCTGTCCTTTCAGGAATACCAGCCGACAAAAATTAACATCAAAGATACAAAAATTAACATCAAATACAATGACATGTACTGACTCTGGATAATCTCTGGGCATATTTGGGGGGGAGCTGTAAAAGCACAACGCAAATGTCTGATTGAGAGGCTCTGGAGAATATCTGAATGAGCCCATGTGAGAACACAGCAGGAGATCCTCCGCAGGATTCACCGTAAACAAGTTGTCGTGTTGATGACGTTTCCAACACGTGCAGACGCAAAACTGAAAAACAAAAGAAGAATGTAAATATCTCAGGATAAAAAAGGTGCTATCTGCGTAAAGACACCGATGAAATGTCAAGGGAGTGATAAGGAACAATTCCAGTGTCCATGTGCTGTGAACTCATCTGAGCAGAGAACCTCCCTCTGCGTTGTGCATGAGTGAAAGGTTAACTGTGGATGTGTCTCCCATACCCAGTGTCTCCCATACCCAGGCCATCCCTCTCTAAAATAACCCTTTCTGTTTTTCTCTCCCCCTCTCAGGGTTTCCACTACCCCCTCTTCATGACGTTGGTCCACCTCACCATCATCTTCTGCCTGTCGTCTCTGACGAGAAGGGCCATGCAGTGCTGGACAGGGAAATCCCGTGTTGTTCTGAGCTGGTCAGATTACCTCATAAAAGTAGCGCCCACTGGTGAGATTTTAGTTTGAGCCCTTGAACGTTTTCCCTCTGTGCTGGGAAGACAGTCCAAAGTATTCAGATAACAGAGAAATACAGATTAATGACAGTCAGATCTTAATCATGTCTGACTAAGCAGACTGAGTGAAGACATTTGACGAAAGTCCACAGCAACAGAAATATTACATCATCCCTGCGAGAATAAAAGATTTAATCTAACTAATAAAGCGATTCATCATAAATCATAAACCAGCAGATTTGTTTTGTGTATTGAAGCTATTCTTTTATTTACTACAAAGCATCTCTTTTCACCCTTGTGCTTATAATTCATAATTTTTAGTTACAAAGACAGTATGTTTTCTAAAAGTTCTCCATTCTGTCTCCACCAGCCTTGGCCACAGCACTGGATATTGGACTTTCCAACTGGAGCTTACTCTTTATCACCATAAGCTTGTAAGTTTGAACATTATACTTTTTAAATAGAAGATATGACTTGATGTATGAACTTTAGCTTTTTAGTGTTATATTCAACCCATTATTGGATTGTGACATCCCACTTGTTTCATATAATTTTCAGATACACCATGACCAAGTCCACGGCAGTACTCTTTATCCTCTTTTTCTCCCTGGTGTTTAAACTAGAGGAGCCGGTGAGTGAGAATTATTTGTCTTCAACCTCAAACACTTGTGGAAATCATGTGATGTGCAAAAACTAAGAGTTGTGTAATTGTGTCTTCTCGAGTTACGCTCTGCTTCCTGAATTTAGTCAAACAACAAAAAAGAACAGAAGGTTTGGCAACTCTGAGGAGGAGTGCTAAGGAGGATGGAATTTTTAAAATAGGGATTAATATGCATGCTCATACTTTTGTTGATCACAAATTATGTATTCTATCCTGACCCCTCCTGTATTCTTCCTCTGGATATTGAAATAAGTTGTACCAAAAATTCACTCACTTTCACTACAAACTGAGCACTGATAGAAAGTGCACGTGGAGATATTATGAAACATGATTCTTGATTCCAGAATAAAATTGGAAAGGATATATCAAACTACTAGCCTTTGCCTGCCTCTACACAATTGCTTGTGCAGATGAACTGGGGTTTTTAATCTTCAGAATCAGTTTTGATAACAAGGAAATGAGTGCATGTTGTAATCAGTGTTCGGACTTTGAGACAGAGAAAACTGCTCCTGCTAAGAAGGAGAAACCACACAATCTTGCAAAAAGTGGTTGTAATTTCTGCAAACTGGAAGAGCTGGTAATGGAATAATGCAAAGATATCGATGCTTCAAAGATGTTTCGCTCTGTCAGCTCACACAGCTGTCAGTCACTCTGCTAACTGGAGGACCAGAGGAGTTGAAGTTTTTCTTGACAAAAATCTTCCTCTCACTTATTTTGACTTTACTTACTTCACATCTTAAAGGTTCAGTGTGTAGAATTTTGTAATATCTAGTGTTGAAGTTGCATGTTGCAGCTGAACACCCCTCACCTCACCCTCTCCTTCCAAACATGAAAAGGAACGTGTGGTAGCTTCAGTTGTCATAAAAACTCAAAAGCTGTTTAGTTTGTTCAGTCTGGACTAATGTAAAAAAATGGCGGCCTCCGTAGAGAGGACCCCTCCATGTAAATATAATGTATTTAAATATAAAGGGTCTTTTCTGGGGTAAAGAAAACTACAATTCATACAATTTAGATGAAACGAACTAGTGAAAACATCATGAGGATTATACATTTCTGCCAGTAGATCCCTTTCACCTAAATCTGGACCTTTAATTCTCAAAGTGCAGAAGGAAAAAAAAATTGTCATTTCATATTTGTTCCTTATACCTGACCCTGATACCCCCCCTTACTCTCTTTTGTGTCCCTTTCAATCAGAACCCATTCCTGGTCCTGGTGGTCCTGCTGATCTCCTGCGGTCTGTTTATGTTTACATACGAGTCGACCCAGTTCAACCTGGAGGGATTCGTCATGGTGCTGCTGGCGTCCTTCATAGGGGGGATCCGCTGGACCCTCACCCAGGTCCTGATGCAGAAAGCAGAGCTGGGTCGGTGTTGATTCGCTGTCAGATTGAAAATGATTAATTTCAGTTGAGTGGAACCCTGATTGAATTGAGTTAAGTAAAAAGGTGTTTGGAGCCACTACTTGTGAAGAGAGGCAGCTTTAAATGCAAATGGAAAGCTAGATTGGCACTCAGTAGAGCGTGCACCTATGGTCCCCTTAAATTCAATCAAGCTTCACCAAATTGCACACAGTGATAGAAATCAGTCCCAGAAATATGTCAGATTTCTTTCATCAAGATCCGTGAATTATTCCCTCAACACGTGTCAATCTTGTAATGTTAAAGAAATTCATTAAATCAATTCCTGGATCAACCCCGATCTGGATCCGCACCAAAATATAATGGGTTCTGCCCTGACCCATAC